GTCTGGCCTTTGCAGGAAAGGCCTATCAGCCTGGGTCAGGGCCTCACAGCAGCCTAGATGCTCCAGGCTGCAGCAGGTAGATCAGGCCTGCTAGCCTAGAATCCTGGGGCACCCCGCTAAGCACACATGACCCATCGCTGCTGCCTTCGGGGACAGGGTAGCAAGGGGTCTGGGGTGTCTCCGGGCCGGTGGGATTCAAGAACTCAAGACATGAGTTCCCCAATCCTGTGGAAAATCAAGAAGCCGAAATGCTTCACTGCAGCCTGCCAGCTGGAGTCATGTGCCCAGTTCCTTCCTGCAGCCTGGCACAGGGACTGTCATACGAGCAATGGGGGCACAGGAGCCCAGCAGTACGTATGCCTTCCCATGGAGGCCAGCAGGACACCCTGTCCTCAAAGCCCTTTCCAGTTGCCTTATGGGCCACTCTTGACCTCTCAGGCCTAACCTCATTTTAGCCTCAGCAAAGAGGTCCAGATTTCTGGGCCAACTTTAGATGTTTCCCCATTGCTGTGTCCTGAGGCCCCGGGTGGAGGTGGTCCCCGTTTCCTACTTTCCCCCTGCCAGCTAGCTTCAGTCTATACGAGCAGCCATAGCAAGCATACTGCAGAGGCTACTGCTACCACGGCTGCGAGAGACACCTACCAGACAGAAAAGAGCTTGTCACCCCCATTGTCATGTTCATCTTTGCTGGAAGCACTCTAGGGTTCAGCCCCTCCAATTGGGACCCCTGTGGGGGGTCTCTGTCTCCCAGTCTCAGGGAGGGAGGGGCTGAGCAGCTGCCTAAAGTAGTAGCCTAAGGCCTCCACCCCAGCTGGCTGGAAACAGGAGGTCAAGGCAAAGCCAGTCTTAACCTGCAGCACAGATGTGTTGAAAGGAACGAGGGAAGGGGGTGTAAGACTATGACGGAGTGGGTGACCCTTTAAGGGTGGGTGACCCTGAGCCCAGAGCCCTGGAGGAACTCAGCACCATTCTCAAACACATTCCTGTACCCTCACAACCCTTTCACACCCACAGTCACAGACACCCAGACACACACTCCTCTCAGAGCCAGACGCCTCAGACAGAGAGGCATGCTCCGCTCTCCCGGGCAGATGCACACAATGAAGCTCCTCCGACCCAGGATGGACGTAGGCTAGAATCTTCAAGGTAAGCGCACCTTGGGGTGCTTACACAGATGATTAGAAATGGGCTAAATTAATATGTGAGAATTAGCCTAGAAGAGGCTAGATAGAAATGGGTCAAGCAGTGTTTAAATGAATACAGTTTGTGTGTTGTTATTTTGGGCATGAGCTAGCAGGCGGCCGGGGTGCTGGGGACGCAGCCCCGCCGCTCTTATTTCAACAGATGGTGCTCCATATCCCACCATAGCCATGGACAAGCCTGAGAGAGAGGGTACCCATGCATTGGGCAGCAGAAACACTCACTGTTCTCACCTCCTCTGATCCCAGTGGGGAGGGATTATTAGGACCTGAGTTACAGCAGCCATCCTGCCTAAAGGACTTGGGCCCGCTCCCCCCCCACTCAGACCCTCCCCACCAAGCTTGGAAACTCCCTGCGCTTCCCAAGGGTCAGCCAACCAGAACAGGGCGGACCTCTCTAGCCAGTTCCCCTGAGGCTCTGGTCCAGTTGTTCCACCACCCAAGCAAGGAGCCACCGCCCCCAGTATGCCCACCCTGTGACGACATCCCTCTGCTGTGAAGTCTGGCCTGCAGTGACTGGGCTGGGGTCTGCAGGGGGCAGTGTGCTGGGGCCTCAAGTATACTAAGTGGAATTTAAACTGGAGGCCCGCTCCAGGACCCTTCTGCAGACATTCCTCTGGGTCTTCTACCAATGCAGGGAGAGGGAGAGTCTGGAAGGGCAGGCTCAACTCACTTTGAAAAGTAGAAGTCAGCCTACAAAAGCAGAGACAGACAAACATGCTCAGCATGGTGGACTCTGCCTATAACTCTGCTCAGGGGAATTGCTGCAAATTGAAGGTGACCTGGTCTACATAAAGAGATAGAGGCCAGCCAGGGCCACAGAGTGACCTGTGTCTAAATTGAAGGAGAGAGAGAGAGAAAGAGAGAAGGGGACCACAAGTGGTAAGAAGGCTCAGAGGGTAAATTGCTCATCTCACAAGCATAAAGGCCTGAGGTCAAGCCTCAGAATCCTCATAAAAGCCCACGGCTTGACACCCGAACCCCAGTACAAGTGGGTCTCTGGAGCACCCCAGCCAGCCAGTGTAGCCAAAGAAACTCTAGATTCTGTAAGAAACTGTCTCAGAAAATAAGGTGAGGAGAGAGTGAGGAAGACGTCACACATTGACCTCTGGCCTCCACGTACCCAGACACACCCACACAAACACAAGCGTATACCCCACCCCACCCAATCCCTCACACACGTGCAGAACTTGACACACAGTGGCCCGTTCTGATGGAAGGGGAGGATGGCCCTAGCCTGTTCCAAGTCACGGGTGCTCCACGCATGGAAATCGTTCTTCCTGCTTGGGTCTCAACTGGAATCATAGTTCTAACCCCTTGGCTTCTCAGGCCTGTTCAAACACTACTGGGACCAATGTCAAGCTCAACTCTGTCTGCTGGAGGTTGGGAGTGTTATCTGAGCCAACACTGCAGATGCTAGAATTGAGGTGAATGCTGGGATGGGGCTTCTGGGCCAAGGAGAGAAGCTGAGGGCCTGGCTTGAAGAGAGAAGCCAACCGTTCTATCTATCATCAGGAGAAAGATTCTTGATTCTAACTCAGCATTTTTTTTTTTCAGTTTTTCAAGACAGAGTTTCTCTGTGTGGCTTTGACTGTCGTGGAACTCACTCCGTAGACCAGGCTGTCCTTGAACTCACAGAGATCCACCTGCCTCTGCCTCCAGAGTACTGGGATTAAAGGTGTGTGTCACCACCACCTGGATTTATTGTCCGTTTTCCTGAGAGATGGCTTTTTATTTATTTGGAGGAGTTCTTTATATATTATGAGTACTGATCCTTTATCCTATGTGGTACAAGTTTCTTCTAGGTGTTACTTTTGTCTTTTAGCTGCTTATATTTTTATATAAATAAATTTTGAATTTTTAGGTAGTAAAATCTGTCAATGTAATTGTGTATGGCTTCCTGATTTGATGTCAGGCTTCAGGGTATCTTTTCTATTTCATAATTTAATAAAATAATTTCTGTATTTTTTTATTGATTTGTATGGATCTCCACTTCTTAGTCTTGTATGGGTTTTGGAAGGTATGCGGTTGGCCTGCTCATTTTGTTTGAATCTCACTGTAGCTCAGGCTGATATGGAACTCACTATGTAATTCAGTCTGGTCTGAGCTCCGGCAGTCTCCTGCCTCAGTCTCCCAAGTGCTAGGCTTTTGGGTGTGAGCCACCACACATGACTTTCATCACCCTGTTGGTTTGTACTGTTTGAGACAGGCGTTCCTGCAACCACAAGCTCTTGCCCTTCCTGCCTCCAGACTCCAGCACTGTTAATAACATGAAGCAAGGCTTGACTATTTTAACTGTTTCAAGTCCAGTAGCTCAGCCCTATTACTGTGTTTTTACATTCCCCCCCCCCCCCCCCCCCCGTGTGTCATCTTCTCATTACACGCCCAATTCTCGGAAATCGTCGACTGTATCCTCGACTCTTTCCCATTAACTAATTCATTTGTTTATTTTGATGCCAAAATCACATTTAGTTTTTTTTTGGGGGGGGGTAGATTTTTTTTGCATCATTTCTATGTCCTGTTGGGGGACACATGTGTCCCATGGCACATTTTATATGGAGTTGGTTTTATCCGTCTTCCTTCATGTGGGTTCTGGGGACCAAACTCAGATGGTAGGCACCTTTATCCTGTGAGTCATCTCACCAGGCTAGTATTGTTTTCATTTAGCTTTGAGTCAAACTCTTGCTATGTAGCCCAGGATAGCCTCAAACTGAAGCTCCCCCTGAGTGCTCGGATTCTCCACCTGCAGCACCGTGCTTGACTCCACCGTTCCCCTGGGGCCTCACTGGGAGTCTAAAGATTGTCCAGGCAAATTTTGAGGACTCTAAGCCATTTGCATGTACTGATTCTTCTCCTAGCCCTTGGACTCTACCTGCCAAGTTCTAAGGGCCAAGGAAGTTAGGTTTTGAATTTGGCATTCTGTTTGGAGGTTATTTGGACAAGAACCTACTTCCGTGAGACGCCATGTTCAGCTTTCTCGTTCCATAACAGACACATATTTCTATTTCTGTGGTCCTTCTTTTTATGTCAGCCAGTACGAGCCTGTCGTTTTCCTCGTGTGGATTCCTGATGTTTGTTTGTTTGTTTGTTTGTTTGTTTGTTTGTTTGAGACAGGGTTTCTCTGTGTATCTTTTGCTGTCCTGGAACTCACTCTGTAGACCAGGCTGGCCTTGAACTCACAGAGACCCACCTGTCTCTGCTTCCTGAATGCTGAGATTAAAGGTGTGCGCCACCACGCCTAACTAGATTCCTGATTTTCACTGGCAGTCTGCAATGTCGTTAACGTGGGCACTTGGGTCTTCTGTGTCCGTGTCCAATCCTGATGTGAGGTGTGGCTGTGTAGCCCAGGCTGGTCTTGAATTCAGTTCTCCGTTTTTCAGACTGAGGCGGCAGGTGTGCAGTGCTGCGTGTGGATGCCGTTTTCCAGCTCGTCTTCAGCGCACAGAGATGATTTTGACTCCTACAGACATAACTGCTAGTTGGCTACCCAACAGAATTCACTCGACTCCTCTCATGGTCTTTCCTCTGATTCTCTTTAGTTTGGTTAAAGAGCTTTATCATTTGTAGCTTTTTGAAAATTTTATATCCTCCTTTTACTTATACCCTCCCCCTTCCTTCTTCCCTCCCCCTTTCTTCCTTTTTCTCCCCCCTCCCTTCCCTTCTCTTCCTTCTTTCCTCCCCCTTCCTTCCTTCTTTCCCTTTTTTTCTTTTCTTTTACTTTTTTAAAATATTTATTTATTCATTATGTATACAACATACTGCCTGTGTGTATGCCTGCAGGCCAGAAGAGGGCCCCAGACCCCATTACAGATGGCTGTGAGCCACCATGTGGTTGCTGGGAATTGAACTCAGGACCTTTGGAAGAGCAGGCAATGCTCTTAACCTCTGAGCCATCTCTCCAGCCCCCCCTTTTTTTTTTCCTTAAAAATATTTTATTACATTTAGTTATTTGTTTGGAGAAAGGAAGAAGCCTCATGCCACAGCATACGTGTGAAGGGCAGAGGACACTTTCAGTAGTCAGTCAGCTGTCTCCTTTCATGACTCAGGTGCCAGGGATTGAGCTCAGGTCTTGGGGTTTGGCAGCAGTGTCTTTACTGGCTTTTGTTGGTACCCCCGTTCCCCCTGCTTCTCTTACTGCACTGGATAGCCAAGGTGGTAGAGCTCCACCCATAACTTTCCTGGTTCTCCATTTCTAAAATATCTATACAGAAATACTTTGCAAGTCTAGAAAAGACAATCAACCCTGAACACATCAGAGCAAACAATTCCCAAACACACAAGACAGTCTCCTTCACCATTAGCTGTAAGGGAACAGGGCTCCCCTTAAAACCATTCCCTTTAAGGAAAAGGCACTTTTTTCCCTAGAGAAAGGTGAATTGACTCAGCTCCTCCAGCCTAACCCCAGAAAGCAAATCCTCTTCCCAAGCTTGTATGCAAGCATGCTCAGGGCTTAGCGTAGGGAAGGGAGATGCATATTTATTGACTGTCGGCTCTCACCGTGGGTCATCCTGGGAACTGAGAACATACACCTTTATAATCCTTCCAATCCTCGAGTTCACAGACGAGGAAAGTGAGACTTGAGGGCCAAGTGTGGAAGAACACACAGCTAAGCATCATGTACAAATGGGTCCATTGAGCAACAAAGTAGAGAATGCCTGTGAAGCCACAGCTCAGGGAGCTGAGGCAGGAGAATTACAGAGAGTTTTTAGGGTGCAGTGTAAGAACATCTCAAAAAACCACCAGAAGGCCATGCAGTCAGCCACTGACAGCACCCTTCTACTGAGCTCTGCACAGCCTCCACTGAGACCAAGATATCTCCAGATGTGCTATCTGTTGGTGTGTGTGTGTGTGTGCATGCGTGTGTGTGTCTGTGCACATGTGTATACACACACATGGCACTCTCCTGTGTATTTGTACGTGGAGGCCAGAGATTAATGTTACAGGTCTTTCTCACTCACTGTCCATTTCATTTTTTTTTTTTGAGACAGGGTCTCGCACTGAATCCGGAACTTGCTGTTTTGGCTAATCCGACTGGCAGGGGATCCTCGGTCTTCCCCGGGTTATGAGTGTGTCCTGCCAGGCCTGGGTTTTACATGGGTTCTGGGGTTCCAAATTCAGGTCCTCCTGCCTCCAGTTCACTCTGGCCCAAGATATCTTCAAGTGTTTTCAGTCCATTCTTGCTTGTGCCGCAAGACCTGAACCACCGTCCAGCCCCAATCCCACTGTGTCTTTAGAGGGAGATGCTGTGAATGAGAAGGTCTGCTGCATCTCCAGGCCCACAAAGTAGTAGCCTTACCATTGCATACCAGCCCTTAGCTCCAGGAAGTGGTACAACTAGGCATAGAGGCTGGGCAAGAGGAGGGGGAGGGAAGGAGAGAAAGGCAGGGGACATTAAATAGAAATGGGACCAAAAAGACTGTGGAGAGGCAAGGACAGGCACCATGTCTAAACTGGGTGGGATTCATGGTGGCTAGTTCCTAGACCCACCAGGCACTGCACCCCCACTGTGGACCCTGAGGGGCTGGGAACCAGCAGCCACTCAGATATTTCCATCCTGTAGATCATAAAGAGGGATGGTGGGGGGTGATGACACACGGAACTAGGTACCTCCATCTCCACCCACACCCATACATGGGGCAGGATGACCCAGAGCAGAGACACATGACTATAAACTCAACATCGACACATAGCAGAGAGATACAGGCCTGGGTACCGGGCTAAGAGCCTCAGATGCACAGACATCAGGGAAGACATAGGTGTGAACAGATAATCCCTAGGAGGACCCATGGAGAAATGAGAGAGGAAGTCTACAAACATGGAGAAGTCGCACATGGACTTGGGGGCACACCCCCACACACATAAGGAGTCAGAGGCAATATAACAAGCAGATGAGACAACCTTGTAGACATATCCCAGAAAGCAACAGGTCCTTGAGGGGTACCAATCACTGTGGTCCACACTATGCCTCACAGGACTCAGTACTGCAACCATGCGCTGCTTCCCAGAACCCCTCACTGACTCCATGAACACACATGTGGCGGCTAGGCTCTCCTGACACACAGGTGCGTGTCCCAACAGGCCTGGGCCCCACCCGTGGGGGCTGACATCTCTGTTCTGGGGTGCAGGTGGGGGCCATAGAGCCACCCCCTCCCCCGCAAGCCACAGGCTGTGCCCGCTGGCAGAGACTGGGGGCCCTGGTTGGAGCAGGAGGGGAGGGCTGGGGGGCCGGGCGCGGCCAGGGCGGGCACAGGAGCCAGTACCTGTCAAACAAGAGCCAAGGAGCAAACTAGCTTCTTAGTCACCTTTCTCTTCTCCCCGTTTTTGGCAGCAACCCCTCGGGGCAAGGGGAAGCTGATATCATAATTATTGGCTCACCCAGCAGCTGCCTCCCCTCACCTGATGTCAGCGCAGACCCAGGACAACCGGGCTGACGGACTGACAGACAGTCAGAGCTCCTGGCCCCCTAGACCCAGGCCCCCACGCCGACCTGCTTCACTGAGCAGGTAAGAGGAGACCTGGCCCAAGTCAGCCGTGGAGGCCAGCAGGGGAGGGGGCTTGGCTTTTTAATGGGCCCCAGAAGGCACTGGGTGCTTCTCAGCGTCTCACTGTCTTTCAAGGGAGGCTCAAGATCAGGGTGAGTGCTTGGAGGCTGAGGGGGACCCCTCCTCCACACTCCTCTCTCTCGGTTTCCTGGCCCAGGTCTTCCAACTTTGATCCTTCTTGTTGTAGGGTAGGACTCTGTCCTGCTGTGCATGGTGGCTCTGTGTGGTGGCTCTGTGTAATGGCTCTGTGTGGTGGCTCTGTGTGGTGGCACGCACCCTGGGCTGGGAAGCAATAGGGACTCTAGCTGGGAAACTGGAGGTCAAAGCCAAGCAGGCAGATACCCAGTCAACGACTGAGTGGCTTTGGGTGGGAGATGAGGCTCCCAGCTCTGGAGACTTGTGCTAGCCATCTCTCTGGAATGCCCGGGCTGGGGTCTGTGTGTTCCGTATTCCGTGCGGAGGCTTGACTTGCAAAGAGGAGACGGTTGCACCTGGTGCAGAAGCAGACAGGTGGCAACAGGTGCTGTGGCTTGGAGTCGGCAATGCTGGGCTGGAGGCGCAGGTCTCTGAGGGCCGGAGACTTTTCTCTGCCTCAAGATCCCCTAGTAGAGAGGAGTGGTGAGCAGATCTGAGACAGGCAGAGAGTTCACAGATGCACCCCCCCACCTAGAACTGGGGTATCTAGAGAGTGAAGTCCCACAGGGAACAGTCAAAAGCCTCTCCAGCAGCTGAGACTGCCCTCTGCCCCCTACCTGACCAGACAGAGTCCTGGGATTTGCTGTGGAGCCCCCCAGCTCTCCTTCAGTATCCAAAGAAGCAGGTTGGGTGAAGGCTAGAGTAATAAGTGGGCGTGTTTGCCTCTTCACTCTGCACCTACAGGCTCCGGGGACATGCCTGGGTATGCGCAGTGCTGGGGCTCAGCTGCTCAGGAAGAGAGGACCAGATGGAGAAGATGCCTCCCCTTGTGACACCATCTCACTTTTTCTGTCCCCTACCTCTGTGCTGGGCAGGTGCCACACCAGACCGAGCTCAGTCTCTGTGTTCTAGTCCCTCCAGGAGGAGATTTGATAGTTTCCCTCACAGTTTCTCTGAAGTCTCTACCGCTGCAGGGTCCATCCCTACCTTCCCCAGGTCCTTCTCTTTCTGTTACTGATGAAATCCTGTTCCCCTGAATTGATGGATGAGCCCTGGGAGTAGAGAGGGTGGCAGGGAACTCTAGTCCTATCCCACAGGGCTTGGATAGAGCCCCCTTTCCGTCCTGACTCACAGAATCTGACTGGATGCCGTAGTCTAAGGGCAGCCCCGGGATGAGGCGGGGCAGCCTATCTTGCCTGCCTCTTCTCTCTCTTGGCCCTGGGAAGGGCTGATGGTGAGCCCAGCTAAGACAACTGAGCTGGGTCCTGGGGAAGAATGGAGGGCCCAAGTGCTGCCCTGGGTTGAGGAGGAACCTCAGGGGTGAAGATGCCATGGGGAGGGGCACTTGCCCTCCCAGCTCTCCACCCAGCCCCGCCCGGGCAGCCTATGCCGAGCTCAGCTCCCGGCTGGGAGGCCTGCCGAGGCACGCTGCACCCCCAGGCCTCGTGCCTCACTCCGGGCCAGGAACCTGTTCTCCCGGGAATGCCAGGGAGTTCTCAGAGGACTTTAGTTCCCAGGGGTTTAGGGAGCCCAGAAATCCTCTGGACTAGTGAATGAGCCAAGGAAAAGCAAGGAAATGGAAAGGTTAGGGGCCATGAGGGACCACTGCGCTCTTCATCTGTGTCATAGATCCCCACACTTCCTCCAACTGACAGCTTTATTGCCCTTCATGAGAAATAAACCTTGGACAGTTACAGACAAAAGAAAAAGCCCCTCGTGGCACACGCTTTCTGTCACACGCCATCTTTTGCTCCAGGGAAACCCTTCCTTTGGCCCCCATGGAAAGTCCCTTCCACCATCTAAGAAAGCCACAGGGCATCCTACTTAGAGCCTTTTCTGCTGTCTAACTCTCCCGCCTCCTTCTAGCTTGAGTTGAACCTGGTCTCCAGGGACCAGCAAACGCCCCACTACCTGCCCTGAGTCTACACATAGCTAGCGCCTGTTCCTCAGTCGCATAAAAAAGTCCTGGGAACGTCAATGCCTGCTGCATCCTGCCATTCTCTCCCGCACCATAGTCTATTGAAACCAGGGCCATCTCTTTGTTTTTTGAGACAGGAGCTCCCTATCTAGCTCAAGTTAGCCTTGAACTCACAATGATCCTGCCGCCTCAGCCTTCTCAGTACTGGAGTTAAAGGTGTGCCTAGCTTATGGGCCACTTTTGGTTCCCCATACCGAACCGATAGAGAGGATGAGGACAGAGGCCACCATCCCTGCTGCAGCCTGCCAGGCTCCCACAATGGGAGATCGTGAATTTGGGGAAACGGTTCAGTATTTTAAATTGAACTATACCAGCCTATGTAACCCCGGCATGGTTTCCTGGGGAGGACAGGCCAGCATCGATCCGGGGTGAATGAGGTGGACTGGGACTGGCAGCAGGCTCAGAGCAGGGGAAAGATATGCTGGCCTCTGAGAGTGCATCCCAGAAGCACCCATCAGATGGTCCCTCAGTAGGTTGGGCCCCTAGCCCTTCCAGCCTGCCTTGGTCCCTGCCTCCTTTATCATCCCAGCCCTAAACCTTTTATCAGCTCTCCTTACCGCAGGCTTGACTTGAGCTGGAGGTACTGCTGTGTCAGTCTCCTGCATGCTGGGGTTACAGGTGCAGCTGTGACACCTGGACTCCCCTTATCTTCACGTGCAGCAGCCGCAGCTCAACCCATTCTTTTCCATGTTCTCTCCCCATCCTCAACTTTGCCACAGTCTCTACAACCCCATCTCCATCCTACTCCCTCTCCTCCCCAGCTCCCCCTACTCTCCCTCCTAGCCCTGTGACCCCCATTAGCACCCCCACAGGTTGGATGGGCATCCCTGTGCAGAATCCCCTAGGAATCTAGAACTTCTCCCAGTACCCCCTACTTTATCTCTTAGGACTGAGGAGCCAAGAGCCCCAGGGACAAATGGATTGTATAGGATCTGCTCTAGAGAAACTCTCGGTTTCCTGATCCTCTGTGGGCCTTCCAAAGCTGGAAGCTAGCAGACAGTAAAATGAAGTTCAGTAGGGATTTATATAGTTTAGTGGGAAATCCTGTGCTTTATAGAGCTGAGGTCGTGGGTGCCAGCCCTCAGCCCCCCAAATAAAAACAAAACCATCTAAGTGAGTTCAGAGGAGCGAAGCCTGGATGCTGCAACTGTGTAGCAAACTGAGGGGGAGGGGCCGAGGCATGACTGATCAGGTCAGGTATGGCCAGGCCAAGGCAGGAAGGTGGACAGAAGCTGAAGCAAGGCCGGCTGGGTGGTTTAGGAATGACTGCCACCGTCATGAGTATCCCCCAGTCTCTACCCCGCCTGTGGCTCTTGCTTAGTCAGCTCAGGTGAATGGAACTGAGAAAGAATTAGCTGAATCGTGATCTCTCCCGGGGAATGAGAGCCTGCTGTGAGTCACTGGGGAAGGGAACCTGAGCTTTCAGGGATATTCTGGAAGCTTTCTGGGTGTGTGGGGGGAGGTGGTTTACTCCTCAAGACACTTCCTCTCTGAGATGCTACCCAGAACCCGCTAGGAGGCACAGCCTTGACCGGCCACCCCACGCTTGCAGAACAGTCTGTGATCAGCCAGCTACCAACCCTGCCCTCACAAACACTCTATAGGGCCTTCAGCACCCACCCACTCTCAGCCTGAAACCACTACTTCTGACAAACTGCAGCCAGCCTAGGCACCAACACACACTAGGTCGGTACACTCTTAGACACCCAGAACGGGGCGTGTCCCTGGAGCCGGATCGCCTGCAGACAGATGGAAGTCCCACCTGCACTTGTAAATTCCACAGCCGTGTCCCAGACAGCACCAGCCTATCAGGTTCAGAGGCATAGGATGTGAACAAGGATGAACACACACACGCACATGCACATGAACTCACCCATGAACGCACACACCACTGTGATGGAAAGACCCAGTTATCAAATGCCCCCCCCCCAGCACACAGCCAAAAGAACTACAACATTTAGTCAGTGGGAGCCTGTACCCTGACCCTCTCTAGAAGGGGTACCCTGGGCACCTATAGAACAAGAGACTTAGAAAGGCGTCTCTTGGAATCCCAGCAATGGGCAGGCTGAGGCAGGAGGATTGCTATGAGTCTGAAGCTAGTGTGGGTAGTCCAGACGACATAATGAGTTTGAAGTCAACCTGGAATCCGCTGTGAGACTCTGCCTAAAAGAAAAAAAGGAACACAAAAGCAAATGAGAAAAAGGGAAAAAAGGAGGGAGAGAGAATCGGAACTTGGAAGGATCTTTCTATGCCTATATGCAAGATTCCTAGAGTGGGGGGAGGGGAGAGAGGAAATTTGAGTGGGGGGCGGTGGGAATGCCGGAAGGATGTAGAGAATGAGTCTCTAGGGAGAAAGGTGCAAGCTGGAGCCAAGCAGCCCCAGCAGCTCAGAAAGCCCTTCTGAACCTGTCGCTTCCCCAAGGAATAATGGGAACTCAGAGCCAGTCAGACAACATGGCCCAGGCACTCAGAGGAAGAAATGGTATGTACAAAACACCTACCCAGAAAATAATCCCTAGTCTTGACATGGCAGGGCAGGCCTCCAGTCCCAGCTACTCTGGAGGCTGAGGCTGGGGGATGGCATGTTCAAGGCCTGCCTGGGCTACATAGTAAGTTCAAAGCCAGCTTCGGCAATTTAGTGACTAAGAAAGGAGCTGTGTCTGAGGCTCACTGGTGAAGCACTTGCCTAGCATGGGTAAGACTGACCTTCAGTCCTCGGCCCCACAAAGCCATCCTTCTTGGCGGGACTTCAGTTTTCCTATTTGTCGCACAGAAAGAGCCTTGAATGGGAGCATCTTCCAATGGGCTCGGCTTTGGAGCCCATCCTGCCCGCCTTTGGCTTGGACAGGAAATATACCAGCATGCGGTCATCTGGTGCTGAATCGGTGTTATTAGCAGTGGTGGCAGGATTAATACCCCTAATAATAGATGGGTGATAATGAGCAGTGCTGGTAATAATATGTACAGAGAGGGGGCCCTGGCCGAGGGAAGTGCAATCCTGGCTTCCCGAGGCCCCTACTAAGGTAAGCAGCTGCAATACCAGCACTCCTGTAGGGAGCATCTCAGTGAGGGGCAAAGCTCTCATGGAGCGCCATGGTTCCCTGGAATCCCAGGCGAGGAGGCAAGAATGTCGAGTATTTCTTCGCGGTTCTCATCTGGTCCTAGGGACAGTGGGGGAAGAATGCAAGGCCAAATGAAGTTACTGTCTCACAAAGGAGGAAGTAAGGTTCAGGCCAGTCCCTAGCCCGCGCAGATGACAGCCAGGAGAAGGCCTTCCCGCAGTCCTTGCTCAGGAAGACTCCCTGTGAGGGAAAAGGGGGGCTCTATAGGAAGCAGGGAGAGTCCAAGCTTGGTGAAGCCTTCAGGAAAGACTTGCAGGTTAGAGGAGGAGATGACATAAGGTCCCCTCACCCCTGACAGATTTACAGATCAAACCCTCAGCTGCCAGTTACTGACATAGCCAACTGGCTCTGCACCCAATTTTGTGGGGGGGAAGGAGGGGATGGCTCAGTTCCAAATGATGTCATTGTGGGGCGGGGTTTCCTGGCCTCAGAGACTCAGAGCTAATGGGCGCTCAGAGGCCAGCAGCATGCTTCTGTCCTTCAGCTGTCCCCCACTCTTCGACAGATGTGGCTTGTCACAGGAAGGAAGACGGTGAAAAACCTACTGCTTTTCAGTTCTTCCCACATGTATTTTCCCCAGCCTTGGTCCCTTTCCTGGCAAGGACAGACTGAGGTCTTAGGGGACCCTCAGGGACTAAGGTCCCAAACCCAGCTCTCTGCAAGGTGCATCCAGAGGATTAAGCAGGTGCCCCCCACCCCAGCTCTCCATTTAGATCCTAATATTTCTTTCTAATTTATTATTATTGTTGTTATTATTTTGGTTTTTCAAGACAGGGTTTCTCTGTGTAATAGCTTTGACTGACCTGGAATTCACTCTGTAGACCAGGCTGGCCTCGCACTCACAGAGATACGCCTGTCTCTGCCTCCCCAGTGCTGGAATTAAAGGCATGCACCACCACCACCTGGTCTATTATTATTCTGATACAGGGCTCACAATGCAACCCAGGCTGATCTTAAATTTGCAATCCTCCTTTCTCTGTCTCCTAAGTGTGAAGACTACTTGCCACCAGCCCAACAAGGACAATAGTTGTGTCCAAATCCTTTGTCAGGCCTGCCCCTACCACTGCTAGCTTCAAAAATCCCCTGAAAAGGTAGAATTGGGGGCTTTTCCCTATCTGGCTATCCAAGGGTGTCATGTTCTTGAATATGAGAATGCTTGCTAACCTTGGAGGGGAAGCCACCTTGCTCCTGGAAACAAGATGTGGGAGGAGGCTCCTGGTCTCAGAGCAGGTAGGCAGGAGGGGGAAAAAAGGTAGGTCATAAGTGGCCCCCAAGAATAAGAGCAAAAGTTCCTGTGGGTGAGGGCAGTCAGGTGGACATGGGAGGTCTCTAGAAAGAGGTCTCTAATGGGGGATGGTCCAGACAGACCAATCTCTTAAACTAGGTGGCCATAGCAAGGAGGAAGGGAGACCCTAGAAGGATTGGATGGCAACTTTGACGGATAGCCTTTCTTGTTTCTTTAAAAAAAAATTTTTCCTGACAGACATCAATAAGTATGTCCATCTGTCCATCCATCTATCCATCCATCCATCCATCCATCCATCCACCAGCCTATCCATGGCTCACCTATCTCTCTTCACCCATCCTTCTGTCTGTCCATCCATACATCCACCCATCTATCCATCCACCTATCTTGAGAGGTCAGGGCTACTGGGAAGGGCCTGTGGTCCTGTGGCATTTATGGGGCGTATGACCTGCCTACCTGGCCTGGGGAGGCAGTCCCACCCCCTGGCCTGGGGCAGGGGGCCGGTCTTGGCATGTGGGAGTATTTATACCTGGATAGAGGCTCCCCTGGCTGTAGGCTGGATGACTCCCCAAAGCCAGGATGGTGTCCATGGCCCAGAGCCCACTGTGAGTGTTTAGATTTGGCTTCTTTGGGGATCAAGACTGGGTGGAATAGGATGGGGGAAGGGCTGGAGAGTGGGGAGGCTGCCCGAGGTGGCCAAGGACTACGGAAAGAAAGCATGCTAGGCAGAGGTTTGCCGGTGGACGGGAGGCTGTCAGCATCAGACATTCTCAGCAAAGCTGCCACCTTCCCTGTAGAAGGGATGAACCTATTTCTCTTAGCTAGAAGGGAAGAACCTATGCTCCCTTAGGAAGAGGCCCTTGATGTATAAGACAAGTGGACAAGATTATAAGAATTAAGACCAGCCAGGATGTAGTGGCTCACGCCTTAATCCCAGCACTCGGGAGGCAGAGGAGGCGAATCTCTGAGCTCCAGGCCAGCCTGGTCTACAGAGTGAGTTCCAGGACAGCAGGACTATACAGAGAAACCTTTAAAAAAAAATCTAGAATTTCCAGGTCTGCCTAGGGCAGAGAGCAGAGAAGATAGCTCAAGAACCTTTTCAGGACAAGTGTAATGAAGTAAAGGATGCTTGCTGTCCAGCCTGGGAGATGACTGATCTAGGTTTAGGGAAGACCTGACTTGGGAATGACTTAGCCGCAGGTCTCAGTGGCTCACAGAACATTGCAAGGGGGATATGGTTGTTTTTCTTATTAGGTTTTGTGGTGTGTGTGTGTGTGTGTGTGTGTGTGTGTGTGTGTGTTCATGTGCATGCTTGCCACAGCAAGAGTATGGAGGCCAAAGAACAACTCGTGGCTGGTTCTCTTCGTTCACTATGTGGGCCCTAGGGATCAGACTTAAGTTGTCAGGGTTGAAAGCCAGTACCTTTATCCTGCTAAGCCATCTCGCCTGTCTGTGGCTGCTTTGCCTCCATCACCCTTCATCAGCCTAGGCAGGATCCAGAGCCAGAGAGAGAGTCAGGAGGACTGCCTTCAGGACATTGGGAGGAAAGCTGCTAGAAACCCCTTCTTGACACCCCTAGACTCCCAGAATCCTGAGACGTGCAAGCCTCAGGTACAGTCCCCAGGTCCTCCCCTGCCACCCCCCCCCCACAACAAGGTAATTAGGGACCTGCTCCAGGGAACCCCTCCCAGCCGCCAGGCAGGTGGAGCCCCGGGTGGGGCTGCAGGCGAACACTGGGCACAGCCCCACCCCTCATAAAACATGCTGCCGCAGCCAGCAACAGAAACCATTAAGGTGGAACCGAGCCGGCTCCGCCTGCTCATAAAGGGCAGGAAGGAGGGCGCCGACAGGTGGGAGGGGGGATGCAGAACCCCCTGTGAGAGCCATTGGCCAGGCAGGAGTGACTCAGCTGCCAGCAGGGGCTCCAGGACAGACCCTCCCAGGAAAACCTTCACCTTGCTGAGGCGGGGCTGTGTGGTATAGTGGTTAAGGAGATTAGCTTTGAAGACTGGGTCTGGATCCTGGGGAGCACAATTTACTAGCTGGGGGACTTGGGCGAGTCAGGTTAACCTCTCTGAGCCTCAGTTTCCTAATCCATAGAAGGGGTGACAATGCAGATCCTCCCTCCTGGGACATAACCAGAATTCCTGGTACAAGCCTGGCAGACCTCTCTACATATGTGTATACTCTCTCTATACATATACATACACACTATATATACATAGATAGATATACACTATATTCATCCACAGGACCAACATCAGCATCTTATGATTCAAATGATCCCCAGGCTTCATTTTGCCTCCTACTGAAGAACTGAAATGCAGACGAGGAAATAAAACTTGTCTAAGACCATGAAACCAGAAAAGTGGGTGTCCCCCAGGCCCCACCCTTAAATGACCCCTTCTGTCTGAGTGCCAAGGAGACAGTTTGGGAAGCAGAGGTACCAATGGCTAGAGGCAGTGCAGATCTGACTGTTTAAGAGAAGGGTTCACGGTGGGGATGCCAGGCACTGGGGGATACAGTCCTGCAGCAATGATTGCCACTGATTCAGTGTTCCTCCAGTGAGCAGTGTTGGGAAGGGGCTTCCTCCCAGCCTCCCCACTCAAGGTCAGAGGGCCATTTCTCTCTTCCTTTGATTCTAGGGCCCATCAGGTCTACATTTTCTGCGCCCCCCCCCCCCCAATGTTTCTTTCCCGTCTCCAAGAATCACAGGAAGAGCTCAGAGGGCAGAGGGTGGCAAGGATGGCCAGACCATGAGAGGGTCTTCAACATGTCTTGCTAATTGTCACACTGGATAAGTGGTCTGGGGCTCTTGAGGCACCAGAGACAGGGTTTTCCATTTTCTCTGTGTGGCCCTAGGCATGTTTCTTCTCTCTTGACCTCGGGTTTTTGTTTTGTGTTTTTGCTTTTGTTTCCTTGAAAAAATGAAGCCAATGCCCTCGCTTCTCTACCTGCAGAGTGCTGGTAAATTTTCAGCAAATACCAGCTTTCAAAAAGGGGAAGAGGAATTCTGGTTTGATTTTCATTTTGGCTGTGTTTGATTTTGGATTTTTTGAGACAAGGTCTCACTATGCAGCTCTGACTGTCCTGGAACTCACTATATAGACCAGGCTGGCCTCAAATTCACAGAGATCCATCTGTCTCTGCCTTCCCAGTGCTGGGATTAAAGGCACATGTCGGCACACCCGCCAGGATTCTGGTCTGTGGTATTTGAAAATTTGCATGGGCAGCTATGGGCCATGGCCACTTTGCCCTTATTTTGCTGAATGTAAAATTGAAAGCGATGGATTCAATTTGTTCCCCAAAGCCCTGGCTCTAGCATACTATGCTCACTGACCTTGGGGACAGAGGGAGGAAGAGGTGAAGTCATGATAAAAACAAGCAACAGCAACTTCTGAATGCTCCAAAGTTGTGGGTCTAGAATGATCATGGTTTTACAGTAGAAGGGAACACAGCTCACAGCTTATTCCCAAATCTCCAGCCCATGAAGGAGACGTGGCGGGCAGAAGCTGGTTCTAAGTGGTGAGCCGTAAGTGCTCTGGACCAGTTCTATGGATTCTGGGCTTGGGAGAAGGGGAGAAGGGAAAGGAAAAAAGAGAAATCAGTTTGCTAATATTGATACATGTCCCATTGCGTTCTCTGAAATTAGAAGAGATAGGATCAAAGTTTGACAGCAATGAAAAAAATTCCTTCCAAGTTCATAGGCCTGTGTCAGGACACTGGGGCCACCACAGATGCCTCCTGAGGGATCCAGAGCAGTAGGGACACCCTATCCCTTCCATTCTAGCCATTGAAGTTTCTGTAGCCACTGGCTCTACTGCAGGGGAGTGAACAAAATGGCTTTGGAGACCAGAGTCAAGAGGAAGTACAGACTCTGTCAGTGGGGGAAGATGATATTAGGGAGATGATGGTGGGGGACGGGAAAGGGCAAGAAGAGGGAGTTCCCTCTCCCACACCGGAGCTCATGCCTTAAATTAACTCTGTCCCACTGCTAATTATTAATAATAGCTATCATTTATTGAGTATGTACTGTGTGTTAAGCTATTTACAAGCAATATTTCATCCGATCCTCCAAAGAGGTATGTATTATTAGCTCTATTTTACGGAGGAGGAAACTGAGGCCCAGGCAAGGAAGTTAAGCAACGTGTCCAACCAAATTCTCATCCTGATTCAGGCTCAGACCCAGACCTGATTCCAAGTCACCAGCTTTAAGCTCCAGGAAAGGGCTAGGCCTAGGACTCCTCTCTCTGTCCCCTCTCTGTGCTGAAAGGACCTTCGCCAAATACCAGCTGAGGGCCCTTTGTCCAGTCGCTGAAGCACGTGACCCCTGTAGGATGAAGTTGTTTAAAGGCTCATCTTTGCCTAGCTGTATGGCTTTAGAACAGTCAGTTCATTCCCTTAAGGGGCTCCTAGAACAGGGCTTCGGCTCTTGGGAAACAAGGATGCACCATGGTCACTGAGTTGGAAGTCAGTATTTCTGGAACCCACCCAGAAGAGAGCCTGGGCGAGGACCACTCTGGGACATCTGCATCCTCCATAGAGATTAAGGGGAAGTTCTCTGAAGTCCACGAGATAAGCTCAAATCCCAGAAAAGCAGTGGAGGTTTGCAGAGCCAGAGAGTGATAGTGCCGGCTAGGAATGGTGGCAGGGGAATCTCTGCCAGGGTTTTTACAGCCAGCTCCAGCAGGGGAAGAAGGACTAGGTAGGGGTATTTCTAAGCAAGAAGGAGCTTCAGGAGGGGAAGGCATAGTGGAGCTTAGGCGCCCTGCTCCAGATTCAAGTCTGTGAGGCAGCAGGGCCGGTGTCTGAGTCTTGTGAGGTCAGAATAAATGAAGACCAAGCAGACAGGGAAGGCCAGCGAGGGCAGCAGCCACCTATGGACAGCATCATCAGCACCTCTTCTTTGGACTACCAGACCTGAAGCAGCAGAGCCATCAAGGAAACTATAGAGCCTGGGGCTAGAGGCCCTCGGGTTCAGCTACATTTGGCCAACTGAGGCCGGAGGTGTGACGTGTGTCCCTGATCATTTTCTAGGGATCCGTACCTTATGCACACACTGCACTTAATCTTCAAGAAGTCCCAGTGAGATAAGTCACACCCCCCACTTCTTTGAAGAAAGTGAAGTATAGACTTACACCATGTGTTCGGAATCACATAGCCAGAACGTGACAGGGCTTGGAACTGAAAGGCAACTCCTCCTCAAGTTTAACCACTAGTGTTCACCCCTCCCCAGACTTCAGAGCCTGAGATCTAGAGGGAGAAGCCCCTGCTCTCACACCTGGAGGGGGCTGGGATTGTGTTTGGAAAACATCATGTCCTCCGGGGAAGGCAGCTCTGACCTGAGCTGTCCAGGGAGCATGGGCCAGGGTGAGCAGTCATGCAAAGCCAGAGATGGGGTGTCCTCACCCCTGCCTGATCCCTTGAAGTGTCCAGTTACAGCCAGTTCCACGCTTCCCGGTCACGCCACATTTAGCATTGCTGAGAGTGAGCTTGCGCAGGGATATAGAGAAGGGGTGGGGAGACTCTTAGATGGGTGGGAGAGAACCTCTCCACCCTCAGACCTATCCACCTTCCAGCTACCACCCCCCTCCCAGTCTGATCCTATGTGAGACTCTGGGCAGGTCCCTTCCCTCTTTGTCACCATTAGCCGCTCTGGAGATGGCTAATCCATCAAAGATATGTCAACCGTTGACTGGCCAAGCTTGAGCCCTGAGGCCCACTCTCCTTTGCAGACTTCCCAGAACTGCAAAGCTACTCCACTGTGGCTTGAGGGGTCTCAGGTAGATGGAACAAGTGCAAAACTCTGGCTATTCTTTGCTGCTTGGCTCCCAGAACATCCCACTCAGCGTTAACTCCCATCAAATACAGAAGTGAGGAGGGAAGCCAGCCAAAGCTTACAAAGCTGACTTAGTTCAAGTTCTGATTCTGTCAAGGATTGGTTGTGAGTTTGCAAAAGTCACGGAATCCCCTGGGCCTCAGTGCCCTCATCGGAGGATGGGATTTATAATGCGCCATCCTTTCAGGCTTGTCCCAGTAGAGCAGTGAGCTTGGGCATGATGTCCCATGCTTCAAAGGCCAACCCTTGGGAGGCTGAGGTCAGAGGATTGCCAATAGCTCAGGGTCAGCCTGGCCTAAACAGTGAGTTAGAGGCCAGCATGGACTATATGGTGAGACCCTGTATTAATAAATAGCAGGGGTGCCTGGCAGTGGTGGCACTCGCCTTTAATCCCAACACTCGGGAGGCAGAGGCAAGCAGATCTGTGAGTTCGAGGCCAGCCTGGTCTACAGAGTGAGTTCCAGAACAGCCAGGGCTACACAGAGAAATTCTGTCTTGCAACGGGGGCTACAGATATTTCAGAAAAGGAATTGCCTATCATGGAGGAAACCCTAAGTTTTAGGAGTACTACACAGTAGAAAAAATGACATCTTGAATTTTGCAGGAAAAGGGATGGAGCTAGAAAACATTATTTTGAGTGAGGTAACCCATACACAGAAAGACAATTATCACATGTACTCACTCATAGGTGGTTTTTAAACATAAAGCAAAGAAAACCAGCCTACAAACCACAATCCCAGAGAACTTAGACAACAATGCAGACACTAAGAGAGACTTACATAGATCTAATCTACATGGGAAGTAGAAAGTGTAAAAAGACAAGATCTCCTGAGTAAATTGGGAGCATGGGGACCTTGGGGGAGGATTGAAGCAGGGAGAGGAGAGGCAGGGAGGGGAGCAGAGAAAAATGTAGAGCTCAATAAAAGTCAATAATAAAAAAAGAAAACCTTAGGTTTGAACACAAAGCTGGGCACGAAGGTGTAAGTCTGTAATCAGCACTGGGGTGGTGGAGAAAGGAGGAGCCTAAGTTCATCTTCAGTGTATGAAAAACCATCCAAAGTGCGGCATAGCAGCCAGCACAAAGCTGTCCCTCAGCAAATAATGCCTGCTGCCAGAGATAAACTCAGGGGAGTGAAGTCAAAGGTTGTTGCCCTTTGCAGAGATGGAGGAAGGCAAAGAGTCAGGCTGATAATGGAAGAGCCCAAGCGATACCACTGCTAATAGCAAGAGCTGCCGTGCATCAAGGCCTGGGTTCTGCTTGCACTGTGTCCCATGCTTTCTGCGCGTGATTTCGTTCCGCTGCCAGCGCCCCATGTGAGGTTCTGTTACTCACCTTGCTTGTCGATGCTGCTGTGGACGTGCTGGGAGCTTTGCTGACACAGCCTAGGATGAAAGACCTCCCCTGGCGCTGAGCTTCTGGGGTCAGAGTTATTGAACAGTTCAGGAAGGGTCAGCCCTAAGGTCTAAAGTCCGAGCCTCAGCTTTTCATGAGCATGCATAAGAGTTCAGAAAGAGGGCAGTGATGGGGGCTGGGGAGCAGCTGGGAGGCACTAGGTTGGATCCACACAGAACAGGAGGGGAGAGGAGAAGAGTGGGAATAAGGAAAAGAAAAATAAAGGATAGAAGTCAGCAAAAGTCACAGATAAAACAGTTTAAAGGATGGAGATAAACACACCTTTAATCCCAGCACTCAGGAGGCAGAGGCAGGCAGAAATCTGTGAGTTCAAGGCCAGCCTGGTCTGCAAAGCAAGTTCCAGGACAACCAGGACTGTCTCATAGAGAAACTCTGTCTCGAAAAACCAAAGGGGGGAAAAATAAAACACTGACCAGATATCCCATGGGCTCTACTAGCAAGGCCTCTAGGTCACCCAACGGGGCAAGCCTCTGTATCACCAGAATTACTATTACATGAAGTCTAGGCATGAGACACCCCCTAAGTCCCCCTTATTCAGGGCCTATCCAGCCACTGATAAGATCACCTGTCGTAGACATAGGAGATCTAGCGCCCAGGGCTCCCTGGGAACCAGGCGCTTGCTGACTCATTTGAACCAGCAAAGTTTGAGAATAGACAGGATCCCCCTCCTCTGATTATCCTATCTGGTTCATTTCTTTCTCATGATCCTCCTGCCTCATCCAGCATTTGCCTACCAGCATGTACAATGTACAACCATGGCTATCTATCTATCTATCTATCTATCTATCTATCTATCTATCTATCTATCCATCCATCCTTCTGCCAATCTCTTTCCTTCTCTCCCTATCTCCCTATCCAGATGGCTAGCTGCAAACAGGATCCCAGCCTAGGGAAAGGGTGAGAATGGAGGTGGCAGGCCTGGGGTTGGCCAACCCTAGACGTTGGTCCTCATTCTCATTGTAGCCGGCTTTCTTCGAGGCCAGGACTGGGTGATGGTGTCGCTACTCCCTCCGCAGTCTGACGTCACACTGCCAGGCTCCACCCGACTGGAGGGCGAACCCCAAGGGGACCTCATGCAGGCTCCGGGCCTCCCAGGCTCCCCTGCCCCACAGAGCGTAAGTACCTGGTGTCTAGGCCTGGCATTAGGACAAGCCTGGTAGCTGAGCAGGGAGTAGAGTCACTGCCCCACACAAAGGCCTTCAGGGTCTACCTTACCCCTTTCACCAACAAAGATGTTGACACTAGACCCGGAGGGGCTCTGAACCCACATGGATCTCTGTTCGTCCCTTGGTGTTTCCCAGGGCAAGGTCTGGAGCCCCATCAGCCTTGGGGTGCCCCAGGTTTAGGAGAAGTATGCTTGTATCAGGTTGGGATCCCAAAAACAGTGTATGTCCTTCCCATCATTTCAGGGTTCCCATGGGCTCAGTCAGAGACTCTATGATCTCGACACAGAATAGGGTCCTGGCAGGTCTCCTGGTCCAACCTCCATTTACAGGTTCTTTCTACTCTGTCTACCCAGCAGCATGCCAACTTCAGCTGCTCATCATTTGTGCCTGATGGCCCCTCAGAGAGAGCACCCTCACTGCCCCCCCACAGCCCAAGCATTGCCTCTCCAGGCCCAGAGCAAATCCCGGGCCACTGCACAGCTGGACCTGGCCCAGGCTCCTTCTGCCCCTCTCCCTCAGACAAGTATCCTGGCTTTGGCTTTGAGGAGGGCCCAGCAGGCAGCCCAGGGCGCTTCCTCAAGAGCAACCACATGCCTTTCCACCCCTACAAGAGGCACTTCCATGAGGACATCTTCCCTGAGGCACAGACGACCATGGCCCTTGATGGACACTCCTTTAAGACTCCGGGGGCACTGGAAGCCTTCGAGGAGATTCCCGTGGATGTGGGGGATGCCGAGGCCTTCCTGCCTGGCTTCCCGGCAGAGACTTGGTGCAATGGACTCCCTTACCCAAGTCAGGAGCACAGCCAAGTTCTGGTGAGTATCAGTGGTCAAGTGCGTCTTGCCTCCTTTCTCTTGGCCTAAAAAGAATTCTCAAAGCCAGTCATGGTGACACATGCCTGTAACCCTAGTACGCATGAAGCTGAGGCAGGAAGATTGCCTGAAACAGAAGGCCAGGCAATCATATATGGAGACCCTGTCTCAAAATTGGAGCTCCACTGAAGCAGCAAGCCCAGAGGGTAGGGGCCTCCTGGCTCTATGCTGGTTCCCTGGGCAGGGGGATGCTAGACTAGCAGGCATGGAGGGGACCAGGTTGAGGAGCACAACAGGGGATAGAAGCTGGCAACTTCCCAGAGGGTGCTGAGTCAGGATTCCAGAGGGCAATTTCTCTGTTTATTTAAGTGTCCAGAAAGCCTAGCCAGACCAACACTTCCCTATGCAAACGTGAGGAGAAAAAAGACATTCCAGAGAGAAAAAGTACCTGCTAGAGCATCAGACCACAAACCCACCAAACCAGGGTGGGCTCAGGGATGTCACTAGAGTCTCCAGGACCCTTCCAGACCCTACTTTGATTTTTTTTTTTTTTTTTTTTTTTTTTTTTTTTTTTTTTTTTTTTTTTTTTTTTTTTTTTTTTTTTTTTTTTTTTTTTTTTTTTTTTTTTTTTTTTTTGTGGTATGAGACAGAAAGTAGCTCCATTGCCCAAGGCTGGCCATGAACTAGAGAGTCTCCTGCCCAGGGTCACTGGTGCTGGAATTGCAGGTGGGCTCCTGCAGCTACTCTTTGGCCAGAGCAGGCTCTGTGTACTCACATAAGTGCCTCGGAAACACTTTAGAAGGTTGGCAAGCACTTCTAGCCCTGTGACCTCGGGCAAGTCGTTTAATCTCCCTGAGCCTCGTGGGAAAAGGAATGTTAAGGGTACCTGTCTCGTAGGAGTGTGGTTTTGGGAAGCAAAAGGGGGCTTGCTTCCTGTGCCCTATCTCTGATCCCAAGGCAATAACTGAGTGGGGTCAGCCTGGGCTCTGCCTCCTCCAGGGGTCCACCAGCTTTCTTCACCTTCTGCTTCCCAGTCTAGTCCTTAACCACTCCCAACAGGAAGGAAGATGGGGAAACAGCCGAACACCCATCAGGCGTGGCCTAGACAGGATCTTATTCTGTTTCTGGAACAGTGACAACTTTTTCTCAAGCCTTTAGAAAGTGGCAGCAGGCTGAATGAGGCACCCTACAAACCAGCGATTGTTCTCCACTGTCCACTCAATGAAGCTCCTGGTCACTCGGCCTTGTGCTTTCTTCCCAGGGCCCCATTTTTTTTTAATCTTCCCAACAATGCTCCAGAGAGTCCCCACTATCTCCGTCTCGTGAATCAGGACCTAGGGCTCTATGGTTGAAGCCTCATGCCTTGCCGGGATATCCCCTGGTACAGTGGAGACAAGTTGTACCCAGGGGCCCACCGCTGCCTGGTCCAAGCTCTGGGTGACTGTTGCCACACAGCTTCCCCTCTCTGGGATCAGCCCCACTATCTCTCAAATGAAGGGGTTGGAGACGATACCTGTGGCCCTTCCAGGCCCAAGATCCTGTGATTAGGGCAATCTCTGCATCAACATCCCTGGGGCACACATAGAAAGTGGTCACAGTTAGCTTTCGCCCCTCTGGGCCCAAATGCCGGCTTCCCAAAGGCCCCTGAGAATCCTGATAAGAGCAGTCTGATCCTGGCTTGTCTGTCTGTCAGGACCAAGCTGCACTCTCGCTGTCTCTACTCCAGGATCAGCTCTGAGGACCTAGTGCTAGGCCTTGAGGACTCCACACGGGCTTCTCAGAGATCTCTGGTCCCACTCAAGTCTATGTGACCACTGACCAGTCTCCACCTTTTCTCTGGCAGCCTAGCCTATGCCCGACACCTGCAGTGAGGTGGGATGTGGGGGACACTGTCCATCCCAGCCTAGCCCCACCACTGACTTGCTGGTTTCCCTCAGGAAAACTCCTATCCATCTCTGTTCTCTGATCCTTCCCCAAGAGTCAGCTTTCAGAGACCCAGAGGAAGGATTCCTTTAGTGTGAGGTTCAAGACAAGAGAAAAGAGGGGGAAAAAAATCTTTCTTTTCCAGCAGAGGCCGGAAGTTAAGGTCAAGCCCCCAGCTCTGGACAGCGGGCCTGGCATGTACTGCTACCAGCCTCCTCTGCAGCATATGTACTGCTCTTCCCAACCTGCCTTCCACCAGGTAGGTATGGGGAAGTGTATACCCTTCCTGGAGACCTCAGGAGGTTGTGTGGGTGCTGCTGTGGGGAGGGTGTTCCTGGGTGTGATGTGTATGTATATGTACATGTGTATATGTGTGTGGACAGGTGAGGATATCAGGGTCTTGAACCTCAGGCAGGCTACCCCAGGTGAAGAACGGTGGCTCGTGGAAGGGAAAACAATTGCCCTTTGGCAGGGGCAGGGCGGGGGAGTTCAAGATAGGGTTTCTCTGTGCAGCCCTGGCTGTCCTGGAACTCGCTCTGTAGACCAGGCTGGCCTCGAACTCACAGAGATCCACCTGCCTCTGCCTCCCAAAAGCTGGGATTAAAGGCATGTGTCACCACTGCCCGGCATGGTTGCCCTTTTCTAGGGGGCAGGATTCTCTGACCCCCTTGTGGAGGCTGGTGAGTCTCAAAAAGAAAGTATAGCCAAGACTGGGGCAGTCATGATGTGAACCACAGAGGGAGGGAGAGCCATCCCAGACAGAAGCAAAGAAGAAGAAAGAGGTGTGTGGGGTGACACACAGGCTGGGCAGGGAAGGAAACACACCTTGCTGTGTGACCTTGTCCTGAAAATTCCCCTTTGGCCTAGTGTGGGTGGGCATATGTGTGGGGCTGGGGTCCTCGTTATTGTCTTTATCATCCTTGCCCTTCCCCACCCCAGCGACCAGTTTAGCCTCTCCAGAATGAACGAGATGCTAAATAATTGCCCCACACTGGCAAGGGATGGAGGAATTTTGAAAAGAGACAGAAAAGAGCCCCAGAGCAGCTAGGCTGCTCCCTAGGAGTCACCGGGCAAGACAGAGCAAGTGGCTGCCCAGCGCCCAGCTCCATCCACCTGCAGCCTGGCACTCAGACAGGCCTTGCCTGTGGAGCAGGTTCTACTCCAGCGCTGGCATTGGCCCTGATCCTAGCCAAGCCAGGAGGCAGGCTGAGAAGGTGGGGTGGGGGTCAGGCTGTCTGCTGTACAGAAAGTGACAGAGAGGGACAAAGAGACACATAGCATGAGGGGACATCCTCCCTTCTAGGAAGGGCCTAACTGCAGAAGCCAAAGCTTTTCTGAGGCTCCTTATCTGAGTCAGAGTGAAGGATGTTCCTAAGGCAGCCACATCAGGGACCAAGTCACCACAGGACGAAGGTGACCAGCAGACCCTAAGTGGCCTTACCATGCCCAGCCTTGCTTTGAAGCTCTCTGCCGTCTTCAACATCCTTGAACAAGATGGCCGCACCCAGGGCTTTATGGTGCCCAGAGAGAGGGTGACTCAGGCGCTAAGTGTCTCTCGGTGACCTGGAAAGAGCACTTCAGCCTGGAGCAGCTGGGGGAGTCAGAGTCTCCAACCCCCAGCCCCCATAAAACACCATTCCTGGCACCGCAGCCACTCCCTTCGCCGTAAAACTACCTCCCACCCCCACCTGCCCACCATCATGACCGGCTCTTTCAAAGGGCCACTGAAACTCGTAAAGGTGGCCATGCCTAGAACACACCCAGGCTGGACATACCACTTCCGGCCAGGTGCTCCAAAAGAGTCACAGAAGGCCCAGAGTGCCTGCCTGGAAAGTGCAGGACTATGGGCTGCTCCCCATCCCATCACCATGGCAACCAGGGTACCTCAAGGACCGCGAGGAAAGAGTTGGAAGGACATAGCTTTTGAGGTCTTTTGAGATGCTGAGTTCTGGAGTGTGGATCTCTATCCAAAATGTCCACCCCACCGCTCATTCCTCAGCCACGCCATTGGATAAGGAGTAGAGTTCATGACCAACGGGAGGAGAATCCAGCCTCAGCTCCCTCTCTGGATATGTGTGTGAATGGAGGAGTGGTACTCTACTTGGGAAAGCTTGGTAGCATGGTAATCACTCTGTCCCCTTTGACCTCTACAGTACTCCCCGGGAGGAGGCAGCTACCCTGTGCCTTACCTGGGCTCGGCTCACTATCCCTATCAGAGGATCACACCCCAGGCCAGCGCCGACGGGCACCAGCCACTCTTACCCAAGCCCATCTACTCCTACAGGTACCTGTCCTAGCACACCCGAGACAGAGCTAGGAGCATGGAGGACCCTTGGGGAAACTAAGGCATAGGATCCTAAAGATGTAAGGGTCATTGAAGAGAATAGAAATCATATCTAGTAATCTCCAAGGACGCTGGAAAAACGATTCCCGCAGGTGGGTAGGTAGTAGATACATAACCGTTGGCCGTTTGTCTGACCCTGTGAAGTCTTAACTCTGGTTATACTAGCAGATGCACTGGTGATTCGGGTGGGTGGGCCTGTGAGGTCCTATCTTGGGGCCCAGTGTCTAGTCCCAGAGTTTAGGTTGGGGATTAAGGGTGCTTGCTGCCTTCCAACATTTAAAAAACAATAAACAAACAGTCCTGCTACTTGCTAGCTCTGAAACTGCTTGGTTGTCTGGAAGGGAAAGGGGGAGACAGTTCAGGAGGGTGGAAGTTTTATGGAAGAGAATGTGGGGAGGACAGCATTTGGCATATGGCAGAAAACCTTGGTCCCTTGCTACTGTCCAGCACATACATGATGAGCTGAGGACTGAGGGGGCAGGGCCACATCCCTGCAATGGTGCGTTTTAAACTTTTATTCGAGCAGCTCGGAGGAAGCTGGCGGCTGTATTTCTTTTCTTTTTCATTTAAAAAACCGAGGCTCAGGAAGTTTCAGATGAGCTCACACATCTAATTTCTGTGTAAGATAGCAATCTGGTTTTCCAGATTTCACAAAATGCTCCCATAGCTCAGTCGCAGCCTCACAGAGCCTGTTGGCCGAGGGAGAACTGAAGGAGGGCCAGACTCTCAGGAGGTCTCTTTTGCAGCATCCTTATCTTCATGGCTCTAAAGAACAGCAAGACCGGAAGCCTTCCCGTCAGCGAAATCTACAATTTCATGACAGAGCACTTCCCTTATTTCAAGGTGAGTCCAAAAGCCAACCCAGCTGGAAAGCAGGAGAGGCTTGACCCCAACATGCTTCCCGTGTGTCCCAGGTGAAGTGCAAAGCTTCGGGAGGGGGGGAGTGGTGGTTTCAGGGCCACACATGGCTCAGACAGAGAGCATGGCCTCGCATGTACCAGGCTCGGTCCTCAGTAGCAAACAGGGGAGGACTCTGCGAACAGAACACAAGCTGCTTGCTCCAGGTTGCACAGCAGCTGAGAGAAGTGGGTGATGCCAGTTCTGATAGGTTTCAGGGATCAGCTACCTATCCCCAAATTGGGAGAGGAAGACAGGTAATGGGAGTGTCTCCAGCCTTGGCCAAGGTGCTGTGGGCTGGAGGATTTCCAAGTTGGAGCTGGTCGCTAAGGTGACAGGAGTGAGATTAGCGTCTGCCTAAGGGCAGCACCCTGAACATCACTTGTGCCTGAAAGTGGGGCTCACAGTCTTAGGGTACCCTGACCGTGTGCAACATTAGTTCCTAATTCCCACAGAAGAGACTTTGGGCAACTCCCAGCACCATTGGGACAGGAGGAGGACCGAGAGGGACCCTGGGGAAACTGAGGCATGGGATTCCCCAGTATGTAACAGTTACGGCACCATGAGGAGGAGGGCACACGCAGTGGATTTTCAAATGTTCCTGGACAAGACTCCTACACAGGGTGGGGATGGGTGGGGGTCATGTCTGTCTCTGGGTTGACTTGGCAAAGCTGGTGCCTTGGATGGGCCGGCTGAGGTCCAGTCTCCTGGGGACCTGACAGGTACCCTTCTCTCCAGGTGAGCAAACTTAATCAGAGATCGTGATCCATCCTTCCGAGATCACACAGCAAAAGGCTCAGTTGTTAAGTCAAGCTCTCTGGCTTCACACACAGCCCTTTAGCCTTGACACATGTACCCAAGCACCTCTTGCACAGACACACTCTCCTAAGGAGGGTGCAGGAGAGGCAAGACTTTCTGTTGGGGAGTACAGTCCACAGGATGGATGCTATCTCATCCATGACCCAGACAGGACAGGAGCTGAGGCCCAGGTCATCACGAGTCAGCTCCATAGGTGATAGGAGATTCCTACCCCCACTCTCTGCACCATGGCCCTGCCTGGGGACAGTTTCTGGCTGGTGTGCAGACAACTTGGCATCTGCTATGCTCCCACCAAAGGGGGATGGGCAACAAAGTCCTTTAGCGTGGCTTTGGCTGGAGTGGAGAAGAATACTGACTTGAGGTTCTGAGAAAGTGAAAAATACCATAGTATGTCTGGGCTGCTCCTGAAGCCCAGAATCTCCTAGAAGGAACAGACACTTGCCTACACTTAAAGCTGTGGCAAAGTCCTCCAAGAACTAGCTGGAGAAAAGGAGGCGAGGCCCCTCCCTTCTCCTCTGAGCCTTCTTCCCTGCCCACTCCTGGCCGTGCCCCCAGCCCCTCCCTGTATCTCATCTTCCTGGCTTAATTATTTTTCCTGGGAGCCGTGTAATCCCTGTTTTATAGGGCTGAAGAATGAAGAAGTCTGACAGCTTTTTTTGGTTTGGTTGTTTTTCTTAGCCGGTTGCATCACTCCTTCGTGCCTGAGTTTACATCTGACTTCAGAGAGAATGTGTGAGGATAGGACCGGCTCCATTGGCAAGGCCCATGGGATGACCTGGGCAGGGCCCTTTGCTGAGGAACAGAGCTGGAGTCCAGGCCCGGTTACTGTTTCCTTGTGTGATCCAAGGACAGCCTCTATCCTCTCTGGGCCTCAGTTTCCCCTTCCGTAACATGTCTGTTTGGACCAATTCATACATAGATTCCTCCCAAGCCGACAGGCTCCTTCTGATCCTCCCTAAAGAAAGAGTTCAAAGACTTTCCACCTCTCACCCCTCACTTGAAGGTCCTTGTTCAGGGCGAGGACAGAGTGGACTCTCAGGTAGACAGCACTCAGAGGACAGAGTGACTCTCGGGTGGAAAGCAGCTGTTGTGGGTGTCCCACAGTCCCGTGAGTCAGGGATGTGGGACTGAGGAAGTGTCCGGCCACTGTGTATAATTGTTAGTGCTGACCATCCCGCTTCCAAACAGGAAGTGGCTGGGGTGGGGGCTGCCCTGGCATCCCAAAGTCACAGGTTTATGGGGCCATAAAAGGTCCCGGTGCCCATTAAGTCTTCCCATGGGCCGACAGAGCTTTGACTCTCAGTAGAGACAGCTGTGGGAGTCAACGAAGGTCCAGTAGCTCAAGAGCCTCCCTGGGAACCCTTGATGAACCTTGGGGGACATTGGAACCAGCTCCATGACAGGCTAGTTGTCCCCAAGAAAGGCTCCAGCAGCTGCTGCCAGCAACTCACAGTGACGCTGGCATCAGGGCCCGGTTATGCTGGGCGTGATTCAGCTTGGCTGCTCCCTGGGGGCAAGTGAGCTAGGGAGGAGGGCGTGGCCATCTCTCATTAACCAGAAATGAGGGGCTAGAAAGGAGAGGAGCCAGAGACTGGGGGGCTGGAGGGAGTTCCATCAGCTAGAGCTGTGGTTCTACCCACAGTCAGCCTCCCGCTAGACTTAGGACGGTCACACAGCCTTCAACTGAGCCAGAGGTAGGGGGCAGGAGGCCCATGCTCCCCCACACACACCGCCTCTCACCCAACTGAGTCAGCTTAATGGTTTTTACAACCCTCCTTGGGCACAATTACTGCACTGGTGGCATGACCAGGCCTCCTAATGGGTGTTTATTCTGTTGGCACGAGAACCCCCTGCCTGAGGGCTGGCCTCCCCACCAGGGCACACCTCCAGGGCACACTCATGCGAACTCACACCCACACACTCAATCGTGGATACACACGTACTCTTAGGCACTTTCTCACACAGAGCCATCCTCACTCAGGAGTTCAGAGACCTGTGGTAGGGGATGCCGTTCACACCGTTCACACAGTTCACACCGTGAGGCACACTCAGTGTGCATTTGCCTACATACTACTACCCCTGTCTTCACCAACACCACATCTGCAATCAAACATGTAGGCAACAGGTGCTCTAACTACCACCCAATCACCAACCCTCTTCTGCCAAACCTGTCCCAGAGGGATGAAGCAGATCCAGAAGAGGGGCATTCTGCTGTCCCCCTTGAGAACTGGCCCCAAGACTTTAAAATAGTGATCTTCCCCTTTCTACCAAGGGGGTACACAGACCAGAAGGCCAAGTGAGCACATCCTGCTTCGATGGGGACATAGACCAGAGGTCTAGGCGGCATTTACCAGTGTCCCTTAAAGAGGAATCACAAGTTGGACATAACAGCTGATGCCTGTGATCTCAGCACTCAAGAGGCTCGGAGGCAGGATCACTGTGAGCTTGAGGCCAGCCTGGGATACAGAGGAAGAGCCCATCTCAAAAAGGGGGATGGGTGGTGGAGAGCATTGGAGAGATGACTCAGTGGTTAAGAGCACTGGCTGCTCTTGCAGAGGACCAGGGTTCTGTTTCCAGCAACCATATGGTGGCTCACAACCATCTGTACCTGCAGTTCCAGGGATTTGGTGTCTTCTCTTGACCTCCACTGGCTGCTGTATGCATGTGGTGCATAAACATACACACAGGCACCCAGTATACACATAAAATAAGTAAATAAATATATAAAGGTTCACAGTCCTCTGAAGAGTCTGGGCTAAGAAGTGGGTAGGATAAAGGCAGGCTTTAGATTTTAGCTGAGAAACAAACCTGCAGTAAAATTTCCTGCCCAGTCCCCTCCCCTCAACTAAGGGTTCTAAGCATGTTTTTGGTGCTGAAGACATCAAACCACAGAGTGTGTAGAAATTCTGTGCCCTGAGTTGATGAAGGAATGTTCTAGAACCCAGACCTGGATCCACTTCTTGTGCCTGAGTCCAACCTGAATTCATGCTCTGCTCTGGCAGACCGCGCCTGACGGCTGGAAGAATTCTGTTCGCCATAACCTGTCTCTCAACAAGTGCTTCGAGAAGGTGGAGAATAAGTCGGGAAGTTCTTCTCGCAAGGGCTGTCTGTGGGCCCTCAATCCTTCCAAGATCGACAAGATGCAGGAGGAGCTGCAGAAGTGGAAGAGGAAAGACCCAATCGCTGTGCGCAAAAGCATGGCCAAACCAGGTAACCTGGCAGGGCTGGGCTGAGAAAGATCAGGGGACCCCTGCATAAGACAGAGCCTGCATGAGGGCCCTAAGGCTGGGAGGCTGTAAAAGAGGGAGGCCTCACGATGTTTCCTTTTGGGCCTTTGCAGAAGAGCTGGACAGCCTCATTGGAGACAAAAGGGAGAAACTGGGCTGTCCACCCCCTGGGCTGGCAGGCCCAGGTTCCATCCGGCCCATGGCACCGTCAGCTGGTCTCTCCCAGCCTCTGCACCCAATGCACCCAGCTCCAGGGCCCATGCCTGGCAAGAACCCCTTGCAGGACCTACTGGGTGGTCATGCACCCTCCTGCTATGGGCAGACCTACCCACACCTTTCTCCCAGCCTGGCCCCTTCTGGACACCCGCAGCCATTGTTTTCACAGCCAGATGGGCATCTTGAGCTGCAGGCCCAGCCGGCCACCCCCCAGGACTCACCTCTGCCTGCCCACACACCACCCAGCCACAGTGCCAAGGTGCTGGCTGAGCCTTCCCCAGCCAGGACCGTGCATGACACTCTACTGCCGGATGGAGACCTTGGTACTGACCTGGACGCCATCAATCCCTCTCTCACCGACTTTGACTTCCAGGGTGAGCTGGGGGGCGGTGAAGGAAGGGTGGTGGATGGGAATGAAAAGGTGCTCTTGGCCATGTGGCCTGGCCTCTTCATGTCTCCAGGCTGCCACCTGCTGGCTCCGTAGCTTCTGGTCAGATGAGGCAGATGAGGAGGAAGTGTTGAAGCTACCCGTTCACTCCCCGCCATTCAGAAATGGGCTAAACTATCCTTGCCCCCATCTTCCTCCTCCTGGTACCCTGAACATGTCCCAGATGGTCATCAAAACTCTCATCTCTGACAAAGCTGGGAAAGGCTAGAAGTCCCATGGCATACTTGGCTGTGAGGGACTGGGTGGGTGGCTGAACATCTCAAATGCAGCTGCATTTTCTCAGAACTCACCCTTCGCTGCAGGAGACAGACCCTCTATAGAATGTGAGGCTTCAGAGTTAGCCGGGCGCTGGTGGCGCACGCCTTTAATCCCAGAATTTGGGAGACAGAGGCAGGCAGAGCTTCGAGTTTGAGGCCAGCCTAGACTACAGAGCAAGTTCCAGGACAGTTAGGGCTACACAGAGAAAGAAAGAAGAAAGAAAGAAAGAAAGAAAGAAAGAAAGAAAGAAAGAAAGAAAGAAAGAAAGAAAGAAAGAAAGATGAAAGAAAGACATCTTCCAGACGGTTTTACATGTGTTCTCCCGGTCTGGACCTGTGGAACAGCAAGAGATTTGCCATGCAGAGATCATGCAAGCTCACCAGAAAGAAGGGGTTAGGGTTGGAACCCCAGTGGCCAAGAGCAGTCAGAGTCGCCAGGTCTCTCCACCCTGCAGTGCTGATATTCCAGGTCTCAGGACCCGGAGGGCAGTCAGTGGCAGCACTGTTTGTTCTCAGAGTCAGGCATCCTTTCTATCTCGTGCGCTGGGTCCTGTGAAAGGGGAGGCCTAGGGAGCCAGGCCTGTACCTCATCAGGTCCAGTGGGGCCCTGTGGGAAGATCTTAGGCTACAGATCCAGCTTCTTTGGAAACCTAGATAGAAGCTTGAGTGAAGAGTTTTGGGGGCCCCATGCACTGCCCCCAAGTGTAGCCTTTGCAGCAGCCCTTCAGATGAGCAAATCCTTAATCTTCTCCAGTGTCCCCACCTCACCAAAGAGGCAGACTGCATTTTAAATATTTACATTACAATTTATAACAGTAACAAAATTACAGTTACGAAATAGCAACAAGATTTTTGTGCTTGGGGTCACCATGACATGAGGAACTGTAGTAAAGGGTCCAGCAATAGGAAGGTTGAGAACCACTGGTCTGTAACTGTCACACTGTGCCACCTCAGAGCTGGACTCTGAGGCTCAGAAAAAAATCAGCGATTGCTTGGGGTCCCAGAGCGGTGCCAGGGAACTGCCCCTCAGCCTTACGGAATCCTGTTCTCCAAGGCTCCGGAGAAGCTCTGGTGGAAGTCAGACTGGGTTTAGCTCTGTGCTGCCTTCCAGTGATGACGTTTCTCTCCTCCCCAACTAGGAAATCTGTGGGAGCAGCTGAAGGATGACAGCTTGGCCCTGGACCCCCTGGTACTGGTGACCTCGTCCCCAACGTCATCCTCCATGTTGCCGCCCCCACCACCAGCCCATTGCTTCCCCCCAGGGCCCTGCCTGTCAGAAACAGGCAATGGGGCAAGTGAACTGGCGCCTCCAGGCAACGGGGGCTCCGGGGCCCTGGGAGACCTGCAACTCAGTACCCTCTACTCGGCCTTTGTGGAACTGGAACCTACGCCCTCCTCAGCTGCCCCCGGCCCTGCTGTGTACCTCAGTCCAGGCTCCAAACCAATGGCGCTGGCTTGAGCTATGCCCAACATCAGCTCCAGCCTTTTCCTGAACTGAAGTCCCAGCTAGCTGCCCATATCGGGCTCACCTTAAAGGTCAAGGAAGGAAAACACAACCTGTCTCCTATGCAACTCAGCCAACTTGCTAACCGGCAGCTGGAGGGACCCACTCAGGATGATGCCGGGTGGACCCGCTCCTCACACAGGCCCCAGCAGGGCAAGTGTCCGGAAAGAAGCAACAGCGCGCCCCCTAGCTCCAGCTCTCTCGAACTTCACCTCTCAAGCGCGCACTCAAGCTCAACACAGCCGCTCATGTATGTGCCTTTCACTCAGAAGTAGCTGTAGAACATTGCAGAGACTGGCTTGATTTCTGGGGCAGCTGAGAGCCAAAAGCTTTGGTTAGCAAAGCTCAGAGCCAGAGTAACAGGTCAAAGACCCCCTCCCCTCCCCACGCCACATCTAATCCCCGTGTACTCTGCAGGCCTGGCCCACTCCAGTCATGGTCTCCCCCAGAAGTCTGTATTTATTCTCCCGTCTTCACCCCTTACAGCCCACAAGGGCTCCTCCTATGTGACCTGTGAAACCCTTAGGGAGACTGCTGCTTCCTAGACAGGCTTTACCAATCCATCCTCAATATATACTCTTGATCCCAGTGTTGACCCTGGGACCAAACTGAGCCCAAATCCAACACAAAGTGCTTGGAAACACCCTTGTCCTCTGAAACTTGAACTTGTCCTCCTCACACAGTCTCAGCCACACAAAGGTCCCCTCCAGGCTGCCAGAGTCTCACTCTTTCCTAAAGAGACGTTCACATGGGGGCCCAGCTTACTAATCACTGTCAACTGTCTCAATGTCTGGGTAACCAGAGATTGCAACCTGCTACAAGATGAGTGTTATGTGTGTGTGATACCCCCCCACACACACACACCTGCATAGCACACTTGGGATACCCAGAGAGCAGGCAGGATGTTTGTGGAGCTGGGATTGTTACTCAGATGTCCACTATGACCCACCAAGTGGAATCCCCAGCCTTCTCTGGCCCTGAGGGCAACAAGTACCTCCGAAGGTTGTCCCCAAGCTCACACAAGGGTAAACAGATCCCTCAGTAGTCTACCATTGTCCCCTGTCCTGGAAGAATAAAATTAGTCCTGATGTCGCAGCTTCTGAGCCTTCGTTTCTGGATCTTCACTCCCCAAGCAGGAGGACCGGACCACTAGGCACCTAGAAGGACTTTTAAAATATTTTTAAAATTTATGTGATGTGTGTGTGTGTGTGTGAGTGCGTGTGTGCATGCGTGTGTGTGTGTTGGCAAGTGTGTCCTCTGGATGTCTGTGTGTGTGTGTGCTGGTCCAAAAGAAGACCTCAGATCTCCTGGAGCTGGAGTTGCAGCATTTGTGAGCCTCCTGACTGGATACTGGGAATCCCATTTGGGTTTTCTAGTGGAGCAACAAGCACTCTTAACTTCTAAGCGACAGCTCCTAGAAGGTTTTCTAGACCAAGCTGAGTGAGCAGCCAGGCAAGGCCTCTGCCTAGAGGAACTTTAACAACGTGAGTCTGGGGTTGCCTTTCCTCTTACTGACACCTGTCTCCTGCTTCCCCTAATCACATAAGAAAGAGTCACTGTTGGGGCTGGAGAGATGACTCGGTGGCTAAAAGCACTTGCTGCTCTCCCAGAGGACCCAAGTTCGGATCCCAGCACCCATATCAAGTAGATACCCTATAACCTATGTAACTCCAGGACCAGGGGATCTGATGCCCCTGGCCCCTGCAAGCACTGCACTCACATGCATACATACCTGCAGATATATTGGTTTTCTGAGACAGTATTTCTCTGTGTAGTTTTCAAACTTCTCCTGGAACTAGCTCTGTAGAACACAGGCTGGCCTTGAACTTAAATCCGTTTGCCTCTACCTGCCAAGTGCTGGAATTAAGGCGTGCAGATTCACTGCCCTGTCTAGACCATGTCTTCCTGTCACCATCACTTGGAGAGATGCCACGTATGTTTGGGACATCTAGTTACTGGTTCCTCCGGTGACAAGGTAGAGCATAGTCTGGGCACACAATTGGCCGTGGAAGATGAACTCTGGGGGTCAGGAGCTCACTCAGTCACAATGCACCCCATCCTGTAGGCTGGCCAGTGAGGGGCAACTCTCCAGCTTCTCTTCGGGAAGGAACTGCTTGACTCAGGAGCCAAACGCACACACGTGAGTGTCAGCACGCAGAGATCTTTGCCTTCAGTTATTCTAGGGCTCAGGCCTGGAGGCCAGTCAACACCTGAAGAGTTCTACAAAGAACCCCACCCACAGTAGAGCTCTCCTCTCTCCTAAGTCTCTAGGAAGGAGCTGGGGTGGGGTAGGATATGGGAGAGGCATGTCCAGCTGGCATACCTGAGAAAAAGAACTGCTTGCCCCAGTCAGTGGAAAAGGGATACAGCTGTCTGCCGAGTCTGGGGGGTGTGCCCAGCTCTAATTCTGGAGGGGGGTGCCCAGCTCTGCCCAGCTCTAGCCTGTATCCTGTATCAAGCACAGGACAAGTGTTTCCTAGAATTGTTTTGGGACCTGCTTCCTTTGGTCTTGACACTTAGAACCTGGGGGCAAGGACAAGCCTTTGGCATCCCTCCATACACCTTAATCTAGGATACAACGAGGTATCTTGCACCGGGCCTCCTGTAGGATCTGTCCCTGTGGGTCCATTCAGCTTGTCTGTGTGTGAGCTGGATGCCAGAGCAACGGCAGCAGGTGACAAGAAGTTGGACTTTAGGTGTAGTTGTTTGCGTTCTTTGTCACCAGACTCTCAGATTTTAAAACTGAGCCCAACGCCATCTTGACAGTGAAGCCCACATTCTTGCTCCTGTGCTGCCCCCTGCCGGTCACCCTCTGTTAAGGTAGGAATATGCAGCTGAGGTGTCTGTAAACCCCTCGTTTCTGCGGAATCAATCCTTTTGTTGAGGGAAAAATTCTCCACCTACTAGGACATAGTGGTGCACATCTGTCATCTGGGCTGCTGGAGTGTGGAGGCAAGAGAATCGGGAGCAGAAAGTCAAGCTTCAGCTACACAGCCAGATCGAGCCCAATGCTGGCTACAAACCCTGTCTCAAAATAAACTGATTAATTAAAGCTGAAAAGAAAGTAATTGGGGGGGGGGTTGGAGAGATGGCTCAGTAGTTAAGAGCACTGGCTGCTCTTCCAGAGGTCCTGAGTTCAATTCCCAGCAACCACATGGTGGCTCACAACCATCTCTAATGGGATCTGATTCCTTCTTCTGGTGTGCATGAAGATAGGTCACTCATATACATTAAATAATTAATATATATGTAGTAAAATTTAAAAAAAAGAAAGTAATTTGGGACTGGAGAATGGTTCAGTGGTTAAGTG